TGCTTCAGTGCTCTTGACCACACCTTGACATCTTCATGATAAGCCTGAGTGTATCTGAAACTGTGACGAGAAGGGATTTCAGTTTGGACATTCTCCTGTTTCTGTGTGTGCCAGGAAAGGATCTCGTTCTCTTCCTGGACGCATTTCCAATTCTCGAGAAAGCATCTCTGTCTTCCCTTGTATCAACGTTTCTGGAGCCCGGATGCCTCCCATGGTTGTGGTTTGGTTATAGGCAAACCCAGACGGAGTCTAGAGTCCTTTTCGACTGAAGATGGTCCTCTAGACACAGTGTGGACATTCCAGAAGAAGGCCTGGACGACAGATATTCTTGGTGATCAGTGGTTCGAGGAGGTTTTTCTGAAACATTGTGGGCCCCACCGTCCTCAGTTGTTAATACTGGATTCACACAGGAGTCACGAGGTCTTGGGTCTTCTTCAAATGACCAAAGCGAACCAGATTGACATCCTGGCACTTCCCCCGCACACCACTGCCTTGCTTCAACCCCTTGATAGAACTGTATTTGGTCCCTTATCTCGGTCCTTTAATAAAGCCTGCTCCGAGTTTCTTTGCCAGAATCCGTCCAACCTGATCAATAACTTGGCCAGTCTTATTTTCTTCTGCCTGGGAATCTTCTGTGACTCCAGACAACATCAAGGCTGGATTCAAGGCTTGCAGGACATTCGCAGTAGATTTAAGTTCTATTCCAGATCAGGGTTTCCACACCAGCATTCCATTTGATAATCATGTTTCTCAGACTCAGAGTGCTACCTTATCTCCTAGTGCCTCAACAGCAATTTTGATGACCAACTCCTCTGCACATCCCCTTCTACAACTTCCAGTTCAGATGCACCCACCATTTGTACTTCTTCCATGTCTGTTTCTGAAGCTTTTTCAGCTAGTTTCTCCACTGTAATATCATCCTCTGAGATGCCATCTACTTCTGTTTCGTCTGCAAGAGCCTCAGTTACTTCCTCATCCACCTGTGTCACTCCTTCCGACAATTTGGACTCGTCTGTTTCACCATCTGATTTGACAAACTCCTTTGACAGTCCTTCTGGAACACTGCTGGCAAAAGTATCTTTGGAGACTGCAGATCCAAATCTAGCAGATGGGCAGTTTACTCTAGCCACCAACGAAGATCTTCTTCGTCTTGCATCAGTTTTCGATCTTGTCTTACCAATATCCACCGAAAAAAAAAAGAATTTTTTCCGCCGAGGCCACTCAAAACCACAAGTACTGTGCCTTTGAAGAAAAGAAAGATTACATCACATTGATTATTAACATCTGACGAAATAATTAAAGAAAAAATGATTACAAGGGAAGACAAGAGGCCCACGTGCCTTATAGGTCACCTGAGGGTCATGTAACAACTTTTAACAATTGAATTTATTTCGTGTTTTAAACCAGAGGCCATGAAATTCATAATTTTGAAAGAGGCACTATTGCTTATCATAATTATACACTTACCATGCTTACTCTTGTTACTTAATACCCAGACGTACATCAGAGTAACAAAGAGAAAATGCACTTCCACTTTATAACCATTTATGCACCTCACCCCAAAGGAACCACTAACCCTGGGGCCATTTATTTCAAAATTTTGGAAATTTTATCATGAATTTTATTTCATCATAAATGGTTGATTAATACCAAAAAGCAGATTTCAAAGCATTAATTTATTTTCAGACTATGTAACCCCCCCCTCCTATACCCCTGACCCAGGGGGGCATGAAATTAACCGTTTTGCTAGATACACCTTTTTTCATCAAAAAAATATATATATACTTAGATCATTGGCATAATTTAATACCCTTGAGCAAAGGAAAAGATTTTCAAAGAATTAATGCATTTTCACTATATAATCAAAAGTCCCCCCCCCCCTTAAAGCAAATGGCAAAACCCCTGACACAGGGGACATAAAAATTCACAAAATTGGTTGAGGTGCCATTCTTTCCTCATCATAACTATGTACTTTATGTTGTTTATTTAATACCTTGAAGCAGAGAAGAAGATTTTTAAAGAATAAATGCATTTTCACAATATAACCAATAGAGCCCCACCCTAACACCAGAACCCCTGACCCTGGGGCCTTAATATTCACAGTTTTGAAAGAGGCACTCTTACTCATCATAACAATCTACTTAGTTAGTTTATTTAATACACAGGAATACAGAAGAAGATTTTCAAAGAATTAATGCATTTTCACTATATAATCAATAGAGCCCCGCCCTAGCACCAGAACCCCTGACCCTGGGGCCATAAAATTCACAATTTTGGTAGAGGCACTCTTGCTCATCATAACTATGCACTTAGTTAGTTTATTTAATACCTAGGAGCAGAGAAAAATATTTAAAGAATTAATGCATTTTCACTATATAATCAATAGAGCCCCGCCCTAACACCAGAACCCCTGACCCTGGGGCCATGAAATTCACAATTTAGGAAGAGGCACTCTTGGTCATCATAACAATGTACTTAGTTAGTTTATTCAATACCCAGGAGCAGAGAAGAAGATTTTCAAAGAATTAATGCATTTTCACTTTATAATCAAGAGAGCCCCGCCCTAACACCAGAACCCCTGACCCTGGGGCCATGAAATTCACAAATCTGAAAAAGGCACTCTTGCTCATCATAACTATGTACTTAAATTGTTAATTTGATACCAAGGAGCAGAGAAGAAGATTTTCAAAGAAATAATGCATTTTCACTATATTATCAATAGAGCCCCGCCCTAGCACTAGAACCCCTGATCCTGGGGCCATGAAATTCACAATTTTGGTAGAGGACTCAATGCTGATTACAATCATACCAACAGTTTGTCTGCATGATGTCCAGGAGTAAAGAAGAAGATTTTTAAAGATTGCACTATTTTTAGTGGTTTTGGCCCCACCCCTAAGGCCCCAGGGGGACAGGGATCATGAAATTCACAATTTTTCTTCCCCTTAAGCTTCACCCATAGATGCTGTATGCCAAAATTGGTTGAAATTGGTTCAGTGGTTTCAGAGAAGAAGCTGAAAATGTTCAAATGTTAACACACGACGCACGACGACGGACGAAAACGGATAGCAATAGGTCACCTGAGTTTACTCAGGTGACCTTAAAAGGAGAGGAGAGAAATGTAATTGTCATATAGTTTACAATTATAGAATTCTTCTATTTTTTACATACATACGTGTTACCTATAGGAAGAGCTTCGCTCTCACGGGCCCCTGAAAGGGCTCCGCCCTCTATATAAATCTTGTAGAATTCCAATACTTGATAACAATGCTGTCGAGTAAAGGAAGGTTTTTTGTCAAGTATGACGTCACCAGCCTTGACATGACGCAGTACAAGTTAATAATTACAAAAATGATTTAATAGATATTAAATCATCGCAATTTTTTCTAACCCTATCATTTAAACTAAAAAAAATCTGTTATTTAATACAATGTATAAAGAATATGAATTTATCTAGTAGTAGTAGCATTGGAGCTGCACAGGACAAGGAATGTAAAGGGGAGAAACAGCAAAAGTCGGACACTTTTCCGGATTCCCTCGTGTGAACATTTAGCTTAGATAACCAGTTGCATAATATATAAATAGAACTTACGCATTACATAGTATGGCCTTTTTGCTTCCTTTCTATCGTTTGTTTTCATTGTGTAATGTACTGTCAACTGTGTATTCACAACACCATTGTGGGTTAAGAACTGATTTACCTTCTTTTACAGGAGAGCTTATAAGATAAGAACAGTAGGCCTAATTACTCTTAATAAAATTAGAACATACATTACATCCTTCCCCTTACAAAATTTGATACTTCCCATGGACATTAGATTTAAGATAATTAAAGTTCATTATAAACAGTAACACAAAATAAATTTGATGAAATATGAATTAGTTCAGTTTTCAATTAAGATTAACAGTAAACTTCTTTCTCGGTATTTATGTTCTCGGGAGTTTTACACAGCGACCACTACGGGTAAAATACGCAGTTGTTGCGGCTGGTGGTTCGACGTCAGATCTAGCTGTCTCAGTGACGGTATTTGGTTGCACATCTAAAGCTGCTGATATGTCATTGGTGCTCTGATTGGTCTTAGAACGCAATGTCGCATCGGTATATGTAGGGACATCATCTCTGGAGACCGAGTTTCCTCGGACACGAGTAGGTCTCAGGAATTTGCGGTTACGTCTGTAGCATCGTCCTTGTCTCTCGATGACATACGAACGTTTTGTAGGGTGCAAGTCTTTAACGAATCCGCTTGTCCATTGTCCTGATTGGCTCTGCATCATTACAAAGTCTCCTGCCTTGAGAGGTTTAAGTGGTTCCTTCTTAGCATGTCTGTTAAAGTTCTCTTCCTGTTTTTCCTGTCGACATTTCATCTTGACCAATGTGTTGTCATCTACTCAAGATTTCAGTAGAGGGACTGCTGTAGGTAAGATAGACTTCAGCCTGCGTCCTAAAAATAGCTGAGCTGATGACATATCAGTACCATCAATCTTGGTGTTCCGATACTCCAAAAGAGCTAAGTATGGATCTTCAGATTTGGTAATAAGACATTTCATGGTCTGAACCATTCGCTCTGTCTGTCCATTACTCTAAGCATGGTACGGACTGGTTGTGGTATGTGTGATGTAATATGATTTCACAAACTCCTTGAACTCATAACTACTGAATTGTGGTTCATTATCACTAATTATGATGTCTGGAATTCCATATTTGGAAATCATGCTTTTCAAAAAATGAGTGATCACGCACTTAGAGGAAAGCGACTCCAGTTTGGCAAGTTCTGGCCACTTAGATAAATAGTCAACTACCAGTAAGTAATGGTTTCCACTAAGTTCAAACAGATCCATTCCAATCTTAGACCTTGGTCTTCACGGAAGTTCGCTTGGGATCATTGGTTCCTTAGGATTAGCAGCCTGATATTTGGTACAAGTTGCACATGCGCTCACGAGGTTCGCTATGTCTCTTCCCATACCATTCCAAAAGAGAATGTCTCTCGCTCGATTTCTGGTCTTCACAATTCCTTGGTGTCCAATATGTAGCTTCTCCTTTCGAGTTTCGAACTCTCGTCATCGTGTTTGGTCTGCCAAAATCCAGACGTGGCATCTAATTTGCTGAAAATCTTGGCTCCAGGCATCCTAGCTGCAACTTCTTCAACAGTGTTTAAGGGAAAATGTTCCCGAAGTATGGCACGGTTTAGATCACGAGGATCAATGCAAATCCTGATCTTTCCATTCGGCTTTGTAACGGTTACTATGGAGTTGACCCATTTCGTCGGCTCGCGTTGCTTCACAATCACTCCTTCAAGCTCCATTCTGTCGAGCTCTTCCTTGTCCCTCAAGGCTATGGGAATCTTGGGTGGAGGATATATCACTGGCTGAATGTTTTCATCCACCTTGATTGAGTAGGTGCCTGGTAAGCATCCAAGTCCACTAAATAAGTCCCGATAATCCTGGGGAATGCCATGTGGTACAGTACGGTTTTTCCTCTCAATGTTGTGTATTCGCTGAACGAGTCCAAGCTTAGAACATATGTCAGCTCCCAGAACAGGGTTCACAGTTTGGTCGATAATGTAGAATTTCACATATGGCAGCACTGCATCCTTCCATACACAGGGTAGTATAACAGTACCAGCACAACGAAGGCAGTGTCCAGAGAACGACTTCAGTGGTGAAAAGGTTGGAGCAACTTTCAGGTTTTTGTGATCAGCTGATGACAAAACATTACACTTTGCTCCGGTGTCAAGTTGGAAGTGAATATTAGAGTCCTTTACCTTCACTGTTTAATACCATTCTACACCCTGATTATTACCATTCACATTCACTGAACCAATAAAGAATTCCTCATCTGATGTGTCTACTGCATGCATTGTCTTTGATCTATTGTTTTTCTTTGAACTAGCGACAGCACGCTTTTTTTCCTGAGTGACACTTAATTGCAAAGTGGTTTGGATTTCCACACTTTCTACAAGCTTCACCATATGCAGGGCATCGTTTAAACTCACGAGTTTGACCACAATATTTACAGTCTTTCTTTTAGTCGGTGCTGACTTCCGGTTTGGGAGAGTACTACCTTTCGATATTCCATGTACCAATTTGTCTTCCATAGACTGTATTTGCTGCTTAGAAATTTCACATGTACGCGCAAAGTTCATAGCTTTCTCCAGGGTTAAGTCTGAACCCTCACCAATGCATTTTTCACGTACCTTGTGATTCCGAGTACCGAACACGATAGCGTCTCGAATCATATCGTCCTGGTCCTTATATCCACATTCTTTCACTAAAAGTCTGAGATCTGTGAGAAATTTTTCAAACGTTTCTCCCTCCTTCTGTGTCCTACTGAGGAACTTGTATCTCGAATAAACACGATCTGACTTCGGTTTCACGTGGTTTTCAAATTTCTCCTTCATCACTGAGAATTTCTTACTATCTTTCTCTGACAGGTTCCACGTTGAATAGATATCTCTTCCCTTGTCGCCAATCCATATCATCAGGTATTTACAATGTTCCTCTTCCTTTCTCCAGAATTCCACGTGTTGTATAGACGTGTGCAATTCCTAAACCAGATTCTGGGCCTCCCAGTTGAATTTCGGCGTGACAGCTAAATTCATCGTATTCATCACAATCCTTTCTGTATAACTGCAGCACTTATTTCTGCAGATGGCAATGGAAAAGGGGAGATATATCCCGCTACTGACACCATGTAATGTACTGTCAACTGTGTATTCACAACACCATTGTGGGTTAAGAACTGATTTATTACCTTCTTTTACAGGAAAGCTTATAAGACAAGAACAGTAACTCCTAATAAAATTAGAACATACATTACACATTGGTTAAAGATTTATACTCGCTATAAATTAAAACCAAACACGATAAGACAGAGACAGGTAAAGTCGGACAAAGACAGTGAAAGTCGGACACCGCGCTTTTAAAGTCGGACACATTATACAATAATATTCTTATTATCCTTATCAATAGGGCTAAATAATTGCTTGTTTGTATTAAAGAGATATTTTAGTACCCGTTTAATTTATGCAATAATTGTGATAATTAAAATACTAATGCTGCAAAATTTTGGATATTTGGATGTTACTATCAATTTAATGCACCATAAACAATATCTTTCGTAAAATAAACTGTTAAAACTCAACTCTTTTCCAATATTTCAATGTTCAAACGTCAATTTACACATTGCACAAAATTATTGTTTTTTAATTTTAATTTTTTGTTTTCTCTCTGTTTTAAGTTTTTCTTTTAACATCTTCTTCAGTTTTTTCTTTCTTCTCCACAATGACATCTTCTGTTGTTAACAATCGATGTGACGTTTTGGCCTTTGATTTTTTTACAGTGCCCTTCTCTGTATTGTGGTGACTTGGGGGTAGAAATATACTCTCACCACTATTCCAAACAGAGACAACAGGGGTACATTTTGATGCGTTAAGCGAGACATCCCCATTATCAGACAAACTTTGACAGTCATCCGTGGAAATTGTTTGTGGAAGATCGGCTTCATGAGCTGATCTATTGTTGGCGTTGTCATCTGGAACTATTTGGCATTGCCCAGAAGTTATTAGGGACAGCAAAGCTTTGGGGTCATCAACAACAAATGTGTCGTTGGTACATGCGGATTCAAGAGGAATTAGGCTCGATCAGAACAATGGGGGTCAGGAACGAGAGCTCGAGGGGTGTGCATGCAGAGGCCTAGGGAGCCTCAGGGGTCTGAGATTCAGAAATCGAGAAGGGTGTCTATGCGGACAAACCCTCGGGATTATTATAAGACTTAGAAACAGAAAGGGTACTGCAAGAGGGCATAGTTTCGGGACTTTGTGTTTCAGGAATGGAGGTAGGAGTACATATAGACTGAGTCTCGAAATGAGCACATAGAGAAATCGGCGGCGAAGTCGGATCCAAAACTGCAGTGTCAGGAGTAGCCAGAGTCACGGTACACGTGCGCTGAGAAGCCTGGGGTGATCTCACAACAGAAGTGACATTATCTGGAGAAGTATGTTGGTGGGGCGGAAAAACTTAAGTGGCAACTGAGGGTTGATAAGCCTCAGATGAAATGGCACCTTTATTAAAAGGCACAATCCCCGCAAGCCTTGAATCCGTTTACAATATTTTCCGTAGTGATTCCTGACTCAAAAGCTTTATTGAAAAGATTCAGGAAACTGCTCTTGTTTACTATGTGATAAGGTGACTCTGACAGAAACTCGGAACATGCTTCGTTATATGCTGCATTAAAGGGTCCAAAAACTGATCGATCCAGTGGCAGTATATTAGTTGTATGTGGGGGATAATAAACAGATATTGTAAATGTTTTCTTTCATGGCCAACTCTAAAAGACCAAGTGTCTCGTGAGACGAGTGGCCGTCTAGAATTAAGAGTTGGGGTCGCTCCGGTCCACAGTTTTTTAGAAACACGTCACGGAACCACCTTTCCCCGAGCTCCTCTGTCATCCACCCGTTTTCTTGATAGGAAAATACTGTGTCAGGTGGGGCCTCGTTAACATGAAGACCATGTCGGGTGGCGGACGTTTTGCCCTTCACAACGACCTTTGGGGGCATTTTCCCTCCTGCGCCATGTACACAGTCCATTATAGTAATGTTAGTTCTGTTCTGAGAAACACGGCCCACTACATTTCTGGCACCCTTTGCTGAGATCATCTTAACAGGTGTGTGCTGAAACTGTTTCCCAGTTTCATCACAATTCCATATGTTGTGTGGTTTATTATTCAAATTGAGATTTGAAATGATGTTCCCAAAATCATTCATGTATTTGTTGACAAACTGTGGGATTGAGCATACGAGCACGGGAATTGCCAAGCTTCTCGGGTTTTTAATGGTTTCTTCAGACCATCCCACCACCCCCGACCTGGAGCCCCATTTTTAAAAGCCGCAACTTTCATCCTCTGACAGAGGATTCCTGTCCTGGCAAAGAGGTGTCTACGGGAAATCCCCATTCCTCTTTTTGACGCCCCGATGACGTTTCCCATGCACCACCCTTTCTGCAATGAATTTTGGAAGTGCAGGCTGACGTCCAATGTTTGTTTCAAGGTCACTCCGACTGATATTTTGTCCGAGATGATTGACCTGGGGATCTTTAAAAGTTTTTCAGCCGCCCGTACAGAAAGCACACCTTTCTTAACTTCGTGTACAGCCTTAACCAGGGATTCGTGCTTATACTGCAATATTTTCCGTTTTGCAGAACTTTTTTTTTTTTGCCATTTTGGTCTGAAAAGTAAAGAGAAAATACTTTTTCCCTCAAATTCTGTAAAGCAAGGCTGTTGTCTATATGTCATGTTTTAATTCTATGGATAAATATATAAATCGATCTACATTATGCCTTTTTTTGTCATACTGCAGATTTTTGTTGTGAATTAAAATTATGACATAAAGACAGCACATAGGCGTCGGAACCCGGGAAGGGGGGCTTCTCCCCTTTTTGCAAAGATAAATCTATATAATATAGACATTGAACATTGAGGCGTAGGTTTTGTCCCACCCACTTTCAACAGAAACGTTGCAGTTTATGTAAAAAAAAAAAGTAAAAATAAATTTTGTAGTTTGAAAAAATTTAGTTCTGAAAGAAGTTCGATCCTAACATCCCCCCCCCCCCCCACGAACGAAATGGGATTTTCGTGTTTGGAAAATGAAAGATGTCCTTTTCTTTGTTGCTTGTCAAGTTTTTTGTAGGTTTGAAGTTTTTTTTTTTTTCACTTACCCCCCCCCCCCCCCCCCCCCCCCCCCCCCATTTTCAATTTGCTTCCGACGCCAGCATAACAGACCCAATATTCCTTAACAAATTCTGCCTGGACGCTAACCTAAAGGATTTTTTGTGGCAAGTTTTTGTTTGCTTTTTTTGTTTTGATTTGCTTTTCACCTAAGTTGATTTTTTTTTTTTGGCGACCTCCCCACCCACCCCCCTTTCCAATTGTAAACGATTTTTACGTGCCTGGTATGAAAAATTGAAGTTAAAAACAGTAATTACTAAATTTTAATATTCATTTATTTTAATTACAAGTGATTTAGTTTGTAAATAAATCTATAGTTTCGTTTTCTTTTTCACCACGCTTTCAGTTGATATTCAGAGAGCAATTCTTTCATTTTTTGAACATTTTCATCTGTGCACATGAACCCAATGTTGCAGCGTTGTTTAGGTCCGCATCCTTTCTGAAACTTTTTCTGCAGGACCCTTTGCTTTTAGGTACGTTTTCCCACAGATTAGATTTTTTAAAAACAGTTCTGATATAATTAAAGCGGCGTCATAGATAGGTAGGCCCTTATTCGCTTTAATTCATTGTCTGCATAAATTGCAATGGCATTGCTGTCTCGTGGATTTTCTGGCTCGTCTTTAATATAAAAAAACTTCATTTCCTACAGACAACTCGTGACTTCCCCAGTGGCATCCCCACGGCATATACGCAGTAAACTGCTACTTTCTTCATTCTTCTAGCCAAGTTTTCAAGCTGAAATATTTAGTTTTATCAAGTAATTAACACAATATTTTCGTTTTTAAAAGTTACTAAGTACTAGTATTTTGTTTTATTTTTGATATTGACAAATTTACAATAACGAGTAAAAGACGGTATTAAAAACCTGAATGACATGTTTATATTTAATATTATTTTAAATTCAATTATTGTTATTTTCCTTTTCTCTTGGCAGAATTTGACAAGGAATATTTGGTGGGTTTTATAATTTTAAATTGAGATTGATTATATGAATATATTTTATATAAATAAAATTTATTCACTGTAAAAAGTATATACATAATATAAAATTCATTTATTTTTAGATACTTGTTAAATAAGGAAAAATATACATCTTTACAAAATTAACTCGTTCTTTCATTGTGTCCGACTTTAAATGTATCGCTTTCATGGCAACATGTAAAGTCTGACACTAAATTAATTTTCAATTTTAAATCAAACAGTTTTATTTGAAACCAATTTACCGAAAAAAATGTTTTTATTAACCTTTTACAACTTTTTTTAAATTATAAATCTGTAATACGGACTGTTACCTGTCTTTTGTCTTTCTTTTATGGAGTCTCTTTGACTTTGAAAACCTTTCGCGGTCGAACTTTCATCCGGATCTTTGAGATGTGCAAATTTGATTTCTGTTTTTCTTGTATAGCTGCCCCAAATGTTTAGGGGACTATTAAGAGAATGAAATTATCTAATGAACTCTTGCGTAACACAGGGATAAAAGGATAAGAAGTGAAACACAATTTATTATATTTATTTTAATGCCAACAAATAGCTTGTCCGACTTTCGATGTCCGTCCGACTTTTGCTGTTTCTCCCCTAGAATATCGCTACAACGATAAGCGTATTCGGGACTTAGCCTACGCCAAACTTGCAGGGACATTGACTAGTTTGTTTGATTGACTGATTGATTGTATATTGTTTAACGTCCCTCTCGAGAATTTTTCACTCATATGGAGACGTCACCGTATGCCGGTGAAGGGCTTCAAATTTTGACCTTTACTCGGCACTCAGGGCCATTGAGCAGTGAGGGATCTTTATCGTGCCAACGCCTGCCGCTGACACGGGGCCTCGGTTTTTAAGGTCTCATCCGAAGGACCCGCAACTTTCACTTCAAAGTGACGCATGGCGAAGGAATAGTTGCTACCCATTTTATCGAATGGGTCAGTCGCGGCCGAGATACGAACTCACGACCTCCCGATCACGGAGCGAGCGCTCTACCGACTGAGCTACCGTGAACGGTGACTAGTTTGTTTGAGCTGAAATACGAAATATTTATAGTGTCTATTTTGAAAAGTGCTGGGAGGTAATTCTGGTTTGTATAATTTTATTTTTAACAAAATTAAAGCGAATTGAAAATTTTTTGCTCAACTAGTCAGAGACCAGAAGAACTTATGCAATAGTAATGCCTCCGGCGTCCGTCCGTCTGTCTGTAAACATTTTTTTTCAAAATGCTATTTCTTCTACAGTTTTGATCTGATTTCAATATAACTTGGCAAACAATATAACTTGGTTTTGTAGACTACACTAAGATACATAATTCTTTGTACCGGTTTTTGATTTCATTGAACGGTGTTGCCGTTGTTACAAAAAATAGAAATTTCTGTTAAATACTCTAAAAATGCTACTCCTCCTACAGTTTTGGTCTGATTTCAATATAACTTGGTACATAAGTAGATTACACTAAGATATATAATTCTATATATCGGTTTTTGATATCGTTGAACGATGTTGCTGTGGTTATTACTAAAAATAGAAATTTCTGTGAAATGCTTATGCAATATAACTTGGCAAACAAGTAGACTATACTAAGATACATAATTTATATTATCGGTTTTTGATTTCGTTGAACGGTGTTGTCATGGTAACTAAACTAAGAAATTTCTGTGAAATTCCTTTAAAACGCAGCTCCTCCTACAGTTTTGGTCTGATTTCAATATAACTTGGCACACAAGTAGACTACCCAAAGATACATAATTAAATGCATTGGTTTTTGATTACATGTACGATAAACGGTGTTGCCGTGGTTACTAAAAAAAGAAATTTCTGTAAAATCTTTGAAAATGCTACTCCTCCTACAGTTTTGGTCTGATTTTAATATAACATGGCACTCAAGTAGACTAAGCGAAGATATAAAATTCTATTTCTTGATGGCTGTTGCAAAGTTTCAAATCCAAGTTGCCACTTTTCCCTTGTTATACGTACAGACCAGTACAGCTTCAGTCTCATCAGAGACTTCTGGTTATCTTACGTACATATTTTTGGCAAAATTTTTAGAACTTCCCCACAGCACAGCCTAGCCCCCACCACTTTTTGGGTAAAGGAAGTTAACATATTTTAATGTGCACCAATTTTTTCTTCAAAAACAAGCACATGTCCTTACACTATCCTCATTTCCTACATTCAGCAAAACAATTCTATCTTGATACAAGTCACGTGACAACCAGCTGATACATGCGATATAACTGGTACAGTGTACGGCCCAGCCTTATCCATAATAGATAGCTATATTACATTTTTACATGTGTTCAGTTACTTTGTTACAATTTTTAAGAAGTAATGCATATTAAAACGGTGCTAAGATCACATTTTCTACTTCTGTCATCCGACTTCAACTTAAAACGTCAAGACGAAGTGAATTTTTCAAGAATACGTATTGGTCACTCAAAAATTACGCATGAATACTTACTGAATCGGGAGTCTCAGCCGGAATGTATATTCCCTCTGACTGTCCGATAACTATAAATCATATTTTATTGGAATGTTCCGTTTTTTCGCCTGTTCGTGGTAGACTTTTGGGTAATGCAAAAACGATATAATCATATATGAACGTTTTACAAATGTTAATTAAGGTACATACAACTTTGGAATATTTTCACGTAACTGATTTTTACAATAAAATTTCATTAAAATGATTAGAGCAATTATCATGAGAAATATTTAGTTTTTTTAAATTTGATTTTTAACAGTTTACATATTTTTAAATTTTAGGTCCGTTGGATGGGACATTAAATGGTGCCTCGTATCAAGGATAACAACCCGCTTGGCACGAAAAAGATCGCTTGTCTGGATTTCGAAAAAGAGTAGGCTCACCGGGGGCCGTATGGGAAACTACAACCATTCAAAAACCGATCAATAAACAAACTTATCGGCCGAAATATGTCTTAAATATGTCAATCGCAAATTGAAGTCGAGTTCTTAAACTTTCAGTCGTTTTTCCTTGATCTTAATCTCCTTTTCCACAAGCAACTTCTCTTCCTCTGTTGCAACTAGTTTCAATGTAAG